TTAGTTCAAACGTTAGAGACGCCATGGACCTGTATTCAGCTTCCGCAGAGGACCGAGAGACTGTAGCTTGCTTCTTGGTCTTCCATGATACGGGAGAAAAACCAAGAGAAACAAAGTAACCTGTAACTGACCGACGAGTGACTGGACAACTCGCCCAATCAGCATCACAATAACCAGTAAGTGAAAGAGGGGAATCGGACCGTAACAAAATCCCTTGCCCAGGTCGCCCTTTAAGATATTTAAGGACACGGAGCACCGCTTCCCAATGAGCCATCCTGGGTTTTTGCATAAATTGTGAAAGGATATGAACAGAATAGCAAATGTCAGGTCTGGTCAAAGTCAAATAGATAAGTTTTCCAACAAGCCTCCGGTAGCGCTCAGGATCAGAAAAAAATGGACTAGAATCAGACTACAATCGATGATGTTGCACCATAGGAAAAGCAACCGGCTTGCACCCAGATAGCCCTGTCTCAGTCAAGATGTCAAGGACATATTTGCGTTGGCAAAGAAAAATCCCCGTGGGGTTCCTGGCTACCTCGATCCCGAGGAAATATTTCATGATTCCCAAATCCTTAACAGGAAATGTGGAAGCAAGAAATGTTTTGAATTCTGCAATCATGGTTCGGTCATTGCCGGTGATTAATAAATCATCGACATATATGAGCACACATATGATTTGACTACCTTTGCGTTTGGTGAACAAAGAATAGTCGGCATGAGATTGCGTAAAACCATAGTTACATAAGGAGGAAGTGAGCTTAGAAAACCAACATCTGGGCGCCTGCCGAAGTCCATAAAGAGAGCGAAGCAAGTGACAAACCTTGCCGGGAGATGATGTCACGCCCCGGACCTACCGGACACGTCAACAACCCGCCGTACAGTACGAATAGTCAACCGCAGTCCAACTCATCCATACTATACTAGGCGTCTTGAATATCATTCACAATAGTACATCCATAAACAAACATAATGTAAAATAATCAATTGAAATCAGCGGAAATGTTTAATACAAGTGTTTATGCCACACTCCGGCAAACATGGGCATACAAGCCCCAATAATCATTCAAAAATATCCATGAGCATTAATTTAAATGTTTTTAAAACAGGGACGAAGGAAGCACGAACCACGTCTTCCTTCCTAGATCTTCCCGAGGCAACGGGCACTGGTAGCAAGCTCTACTCCCTACCTGAAACTGTGAGGTGGCCTCCCCCGTGAAGGGGAGGTCAGTACTTGGAAGCATTTGACAAGTACAATGACAACTATACCAAGTATAATCAATGTTTCAACTTCTAAGACCCTCAAAATAGGGTGATATCATAATATAAATAATAATTTATATTTCCCACTTATTATCTCTATAATAAGTAAATTTATTTATTTGTCGGCACACGGCCCATTGCATATATTTCATTATACCCGTCGTTAGCACGACACCGCCCGTAGGTCTTATCATCCTTTACGAGACTTGTCACCGCTCTCCGAGGCCTCACCGGGCTCTCGGGCCGGAGTCCAACATCCCGCCCCTGAACTCATACCCATCATCCCGTAGGAAGGTAAGGTCCATTCGGGGTCCTATCTTATGTGTTACCGCTGTCGGGAGCCTCGTAAGGTCTCCGGTTCGGATTCCACCCTAACCCGTGATCACGATGTAAGTCCATGCTATCCAACCCCGCTCTCTAGAGTCGGGAAGGGCCATGGTCCTTACTAATTACCAATACCCTATCGGCTAATCCTTAAAGACTACCGAATACACCCGTAGGCCAATCCTATTCCTAGGATCAATTTATTATTCACTTTATCTTGGGTATCCCTTAAGGACTACCCCTAGCATCACTTATCCACCTTAGTATCTCTTAAGACTACTTAAGGCTCAACAATTTACAATCCAAACCTTGGATCAATTCTAACATATTTCATTCCAAAACCCCGACTAGTATCATTATACTAGTCGGATAAATCCCCACAAAATCTCATTTCGGTTCATAGTCATATAGACAATTCTCAAACTAATTTTCCATTGAAAATATAGTTCATATCAATATACAAAATATAATCTTTAATCACTCATATATCCTTATATGAAGTTAAAATTATATTTCAACATAATATTCATAGTTAATCCCTTCATCAAGCCAATATGCTTATATTACATAATCATACACAATTTATTCTTAAATTTGTATATTATGCCCCTTTATTCATTGACAACAATATTTTCATTTAGGCATTATTAATCATTAATAATCCATGAAAATAACATTTAATTACTTTAGGTAATCTTACGAAATTAACCCAAAGATTATAAACAACATAGTCAGCCATCCTCACCTTATGAAGCGCTGGATTAGTTGCCTTTGATAAGCCCTTCGATCGATCCCCGTTCTAACCCGATCAAAAGCGAAATTCCTGGACAGTAGCCCCAAAGCCGGGCGGCTTTCACCCAAAGCCGGGCGGCTTTCGTAGTCTGCAACTACGAGCAGCTCCTTTGGAGTGGCGGTTTCCGGTGGTTTCAACTCCTATCGATTCCACGACCCTCCTAAGTTAAATACCACCACTTTATAACAATATTATACACTTTTAAACGTGTATAACTCGTGGTTTAATCCACCATATGATTTCTTAAAAATCATATCAAAATAACTAGTAAAAGATGGTAGAGTTCTTACCTCCAACACACCTCCTTCTTCTTGGATTTCCTTCCTCCAACAATGGAGTTTGTGAGAGCCTTTCTCCTGAGCTTCTACCCCTCCCTTAGCTTGTTCGAATGGTGTAGGAAGCAAGGGAAATATCTCCCTCAATCATACCTCAATCAAGGTATAGACAAGGCCAAAAAGAGAGAGTGGGTTTTGTCTCAATGAGACTTCCCATTTCCATCATCCGCACAATCCAATTGGTGTGGCCCCCCTCCCTTATTATTTGAGTCTAATTAGTGTGTAGAATACCCCAAGTGGGTGTAGGAAGTCCCTCCCAATTATTCCTGATATTTTTTGGCAGGCTGGGCCAAAATAACACTCGGGTTGTCCAAATATTTTCATCAACTTAAGTTGGCACTTTATTGGGCTTCTATAATTATCACGATAATCCAGCTAAACATTTGGTAGCCCATTCTCATACGCTGGACCTGATAAATAATTTAATTAATCATGCATTAATTAAATGTACCAATTTTGTCACACGAATTCATTCGCTATGAAAATTCAATTACATGTCGAATTTCAAATTCAAGTACATCCGGGTGCGGTGTCACAGATGAAGAAGAATACCCCGGCGGCAGATGCATGTATACTTCTTCACGAAGATCTCCATGAAGGAAGGCATTATCTACATCCATCTAATGTAGCTCCCAATGACATGAGGCTGCCACCGCCAAAACCGTGCGCACCGTAACCATCTTAGCAACAGGTGCAAATGTCTCTCCATAGTCAATGCCTTCCACCTGGCGGTTCCCGCAAACAACCAGTCGCGCTTTATATTGCTCCACCGTCCCATCACTTTTATACTTGATCTTGTACACCCACTTGCAAAAAATAGCTCTCTTCCCGGGTGGTAAATCCTGAATCTCCCATGTACCTGTACGTTCAAGAGCCTGAATCTCACGACTCATTGCCTCTCTCCAACGAGGATCGCGGACAGCTTCTCCAAAGGTACTGGGCTCCTTGTGCAATGTAATAGCTGCAAGAAAAGCTCGGTGCGGGACCGAAAAGTGATCATATTTTATACAATGAGATAGTGAATAAGGATTACCTGAATCTGCCGTAAGAGTTGATGTGCAAACGGGGGAAGAGTTTATTTTAACCGTGTTTAACTGAACATCATAATCTTGGTGCCACGTCGGAACCCTGCGTGGACGTGCACTTCGGCGAAGCTGATCATGATCAGGAGAGGGAATAGTACTGTCCATGTCGTTTCATCCTCCATATTTGTGGAGTCAAAGACTCCTCTTCTGTCCGTCCGTGCATGTTCATGAGACATGTCAGACTCCTCACACGTGTGGAGTGTTGTTTTCTCATCAGTGGCACGTACATAGTGCTCCCATGTACGTATGTCATTCCCTGCATGATTGTCAGAATCCAAAGGAGGTTCCCTTGACTTAAAGGGAAATTCATGTTCAACAAATTTTACGTCACGTGAGACAAAGTGTCGCCGATTCTGTAAATCAAAAACCTTCCAGCCCTTTTGTGAGTAGGAATATCCCAAAAAAACACACCTCACACCACGAGGTCCAAATTTATCTCCTCCATTGTTTGGTTCATGTGCGTAGCAAAGACAACCAAACACCCGCAATTGGCTATAAATTGGTATTTTGTTATACAACAATTCATAAGGACTTTTTTTATCTATTACGGGGGAGGGCAAACGATTTATTAAATATCCCGCCGTCAACACACACTCACCCCAAAAATCAATGGGCAAGTTTGCATGAAACCGGAGAGTTCTAGCCATTTCCAAAATATGTCTATGTTTTCTTTCAACCCTACCATTCTGTTGAGGGGTGTATACACAACTGGTCTGAAAAATGATGCTGTTAGTCAAGAAATAGTCCTGTAGACTAACAAATTCCTTTCCATTATCACTTCTCACTACCTTCACATTTTTATTAAACTGTCGATTAGTCATGGCCAGGAATTGTTTAAGAATAATTTTGACTTCACCCTTGTCTCGCATCAAATGTACCCAAATAGCTCTAGAAAAATCATCCACCACAGTCAAAAAATATCGAGCACCACAAGTAGACTTAACACGATAAGGTCCCCAAATATCACAGTGTATTAACTCAAAAGGTTCAACGGCTCTACCACTACTAACAATAAAACTATCACGTGTTTGCTTGCCTCTCATACATGCATCACAAACTTTATTTTGAACAGAATTCAACAACACTATTTAAATAACCAAGTGACCGTAGTACTTTCAGTGACGGATGACCCAACCTTGAGTGCCACAAATCACCAGAGTCTGAACTTCCCACTGCATATGCCTGTGCTTGGTCCAGTCCCCGGAAAAAATAAACTCCCCCTCGTCGTTCACCCACTCCAATCGGCATCCTCGTAGGTAGGTCCTGTATCACACACAAATCATTAGTAAAAATTACATCACATTTTCAGTTATCAATTAGTTTCGCCAAGGAAATTAAATTGCATTTTAGTCCAGGTACAAGTAGAACATTAATTAAATTTAAACTTGTACTAAGGACCACGCTTCCAACGTGGGTAGCTTTGGTACGTTCGCCGTTCGGCAGTACCACATCTACCGGTGCAATCCGCACCATCTCCGTCAAAACTTCATCATTCCCGGTCATGTGATACGACGCTCCCGAGTCGAGAAGCCACTCGTTGTCTAGATTCATACCTGAAAGTTTTTCCCCTGAGGAGGAGGAATTCTTACAACTTTCCATTATTTTGAGAAAAGTCTGCCACTGTTCGTTTGAGAATCCTGGTGCATGCATGGTTGTTTCCTTCGTTCCTTGTGCAGGTGCAGCATCTCCCTGGACCTCGCCCATATGCATGGCATGAGCAATTCCTCGTCCATAACCTCTGCCTAAGCCTCCATGTCCAGTCCCTTCGCGATTGGGGCCTCCACGTCCTTTTCCTCCTCGCGCACGACCCGGATTCTCATGCCACCAGTCCGGGTAATTCCCGGTTCTCCTGAAAAAGTTATCATAATCATGTCCAGGTTTCTGACAATATGAGCACTTCATTCGTTCCTCCTTCCTAGGAGTAATGCCGGTGCGTGCAGCAAGCGCCATGGCATCATGGTTTTCTTCTCGCCCACGGGTCATGTTCCACAGTCTTTCTTCCTGCACCATCATGTTGTATACCTTAGTCAAGGGCGGCAGATCATCCGCGCTAAGAATATTAGAACGTAAAGTTCCATAGGCCTCGGTATTAAGTCCCATCAAAAAATCATGTGTTTTCTCGGTTTCAATGTGCTTGAGGAATAATTTTTTGAGCCCGCAAGTACACCCATTACAAGTGCATTGTGGTATGTTTCTGAGTCCGTCGTAATCGTCCCAAAGCCCCTTGAGCTTCCCAAAATAGTCAGTAATCGTCTGCCCTTGTTGACGGCAACCCCGAATTAATTCCTTTAATTCATAAGTTCTCATCGCGTCCCTGACGGCAAAACGCGCCTCCAAGTCGTTCCATAGATCACAGACACTGTCCATATAGGCCAAGTTGGATCGGAGTGCCGGATCCGCCGAAGTCATAATCCAACCCACCGCCATGGAGTTGACGGTGTTCCAGTCTTCGAGGTCTCTTTCACTGTGCATGGGCTGTTTGATGGTTCCGTCTAGAAACCCCAATTTCCGCTTTGCGCGGAATGCATTCCTCATCGCCGTAGCCCATTCTCGATAATTGCTCTCACCCTTGAGAACAACGGCGCATATTTGTAGTCCAGGAAAATCCGAGCTCGACAGGTAGTATGGTGAGGACGGGTCGTTTATTTTCCGTCTCTCACCATGTTCACGATTTCCATCACCGGTGTTCCCTGTCTCGCCGGCCATCTTCGTCGCAGAATTGCGTGATCGGTTAGCCAAGGATCAGCGCTCTGATACCATATTAAACGAGAGCAGGAATTGAGAAAATATTTTGTGTTATTCTGTTTTGATCATCTGGACGATGCGTCCATATACACATGATGTACGCATGAGTATTTTACACGTACAAGGATGCCCATGCGTTGGTCAATCAGAAAAGAAAGGAAAGAAATTAAATGAGAGAAACATTCCTATTCTAATCTAACCTCTAGGTACGTACAAAGAAAATGTTACAATAAAATATTTGTACAAATAATTAGTAATAATAGTAACGGCTAACACTTATTATGCATGCATGTTATATTACTTAAATATAAAGATTTTATACTTTTACATGCCCCGTTAGTCATTTATGAAGTTAGTGCATGGATGTCAAGTATTGCTCCGTATAATTTTACATCAATGGTGAGGCCGAATGTATTATTATTATAAGTATACGTATGAGAAATGATACTTGTACCTAGTTGTAATCTTTATATGTACCGCTCTTATCTAGAGTGCGCTTGTGTTTTTCTTATGTTATACGAAGTATTACCATCAGTTTAAAATACTGATTTTTATTATTATATGCTACTCCCTTCGTGTATCTATAACTAAATATTAGGTTGTCCTAACATGTAAATTTAGGTAAGAAGTAATGCAAGCATATCAAACATACATATACATAAATATGTTAATGCATGCATGTTAATTATAATAGCACATATCTATCTATCTTAATCAAAGTATATGGTTTCATGCAAAATACATCGCCGTGGTATTCTACATACTCGTATATCACAGAATCGTTATAATTAATCTGTGTTAATTTTAACGACTTTACTTCTTAATAATACGGAGCTAAGCTTTATTTCTAGCTGACCTTCGTATTGATAGATTAAAGAAAACGTAATTACTATCAATTATGATAGATTTATGTGTCTATAAACTCAAAATTCTTATAAATTAAGAACACATATTTAGGGCACACAAAATTTCTAAGGTTATATAATGTTCATCATCCCCATAACACAAGGGGCAACGGGGACGAAAATAAACACAATAATCTAAATGGCCGGGACGGAAATGTACTGACCTCGTAGAGAAATCCTTCTGAAGATTTTGGTAGTATAATAGTATGGAGACCTCCAGTCTATACTGCTATCTTTCTCCTTATCCTCGCTAGCTCCGATTCTTCATATTGTTAGCTACTGGTCTCCTCTTTTATGTTTATTTTAGTATATTTGTGCTAAGCCACTTTCGTAAAGTAAGTGATAAAATATCTGATTTGGTTCTATATGTAATATGTATGACCACCGCCTATAATAGTAGAAGTTTATACTATCAAAGCATGGGAGTGAAGCCAAATCAGTGTTACGTTGTCCGCTCTCACATGCTAGTGACACGTATATATTGTAACACCGTCCCCAAATGTATTTACTTTTAAAGGGAATAATGTATTGAACTCACGGAATGGTTAACGAGTATTCGAAGTTGTGAATTTTTATTAATGTTTTTGCGTGAATAGTAAATTCGCACGTGGGGCCCGCACCGGGAGCGGGGGCCGCCCGATATTTCCGGGACCACATATTTTATTCATCTTGGTCTAGATAATATTTATATGGTGGTGGATATCTCATTTGAGCCATGGGAAGGTCCAGAGTTGACCGATTTGTCAAAAGAGGCCCAAATACCGGTATTGGCAATTTAACCGATGAAAGCCCGAAATTGAATCTCGGGGACTTATAAATTAAAGTTGGGAGATGAATATTCATTATAGGGGTCATAATGATGGAGAACACATAATATATTTTATTTGACCCGATAAAATAAAATATATCTAAAACAGTCCGAAAAATACAACTTTCGGGACCAATTGTACACTCCTGGACAAAAAGGGTTGACCTCCCACATGGGTGGGGGCCAACCCACGAATTTGGCAGCCAAAGGGGGCTGATTTGTGTCACACTTGAGCTGTGAGACAAGAGGGAGGTGGGAGGAAGCTATCAAGGTACCATGAGGGGGTCCATTTACACATTATTTTGAGAGGAATGCCAAATAGACTATCCCCTCACTCACCCTCTCCCATTATTTCGGCCAAAGAGACCCAAGAGAGAAGGATAGCTCTTGCAACCTCATCCTCCATATACAAGAACTGAACTCAAGCAAGGAAGCTCCAAGGAGGAAGATTAAAGGGAGAAAAAGGCTAGGAAAAGTGAGAAAGATTAAGGTAATGACCTTGTATTAACTTTTCCTTTATTTTTCCCCTAACCTATGAGATACATATCTTATGGAGAACCCTTGAGGTTGTTCTACATGCCAATAGTGTGGAATAATGGGTTGGGGAGTAGGTCTAAGTCCAAGAACGGACTTAGAAGCCAAACCGACCGGTTCACCGGAAAATAACCTTTTAAGGGTTATGTGTATTGATTAAGGTTTTATGATGTTAAAACCTTGTTAGGAACTTGATTTAGAGTATCTTTGAGCTTCGCCGGAGTTTCGCCGGAGTTGGTCAAAGTTGGCCGGAGTTGGTCAAAGTTCACCGGAATCGGTCAAAGTTCAACCGCGGAGCGTAGAACACGCTTAAGCTCACTTAAGGTGAGGATGACCGACTATATTGCTTATAATTATTGGGTTAATTTCATAAGATTACCTAAATGAATTATATGTGTTTGGCATGATGTATTTATAATAATAAAATGCCTAAATGAGATTGTTATTGTTTATAAGCAAAAATGCATAATATACAAATTTATGAATAAATTGTGTATGATTATGTGTTATGAATACAATGGTATAATAGTTGTGCAAACTATAAACTAAATTGTGATAAATATACTTTTACCTCATGTAAGGGAGTCATGGAAGGTTAAAAGTGATATTTTGATATTAGAGCCAAGATATACTTGAATGTGGAATTTAATTGAGATATTCAAGTTATTATGAACTTAAGTTACATTTGGAGTAGGCCTTAAGGGTTACTCAAAATGGATGGAACCTAGACTAAGAAGTGGTTTAGGAATTAGTGGACGTGACTATGAGCCGAGCTCTAGCACGTGGTAGCATGACTATGAGCCGAGCTCTAGCAAACGTAGGGTGACTATGAGCCGAGCTCTAGCACAAATTAGTATGACTATGAGCCGAGCTCTAGCAAACGTAGGGTGACTATGAGCCGAGCTCTAGCACAAATTAGTATGACTATGAGCCGAGCTCTAGCAAACGTAGGGTGACTATGAGCCGAGCTCTAGCACAAATTAACATGACTATGAGCCGAGCTCTAGCATGAAAGAACATGAGTTAAGTACAAATGAATAACATCTTGGATTGAGGGTCTTGGAAATTGAAACTTTGATTATACTTAGTATAGTTGTCATTGTACTTGTCAAATGCTTCCAAGTACTGACCTCCCCTTCACGGGGGAGGCCACCTCACAGTTTCAGGTAGGGAGTAGAGCTTGCTACTACCGCTCGTTGTTTCGAGGAATTCAAGGAGGAAGGCGTGGTTCGTGCCTCTTCTGTTTCTGTTTTGAAAACAATTTAAATAATGCTCATGGATATTACTTCGAATATTTATTTGGGGGCTTGTATGCCCGTGGTTGCCACGTGTGGCTTGAATAATTGTAATCATGTTTCCGCTGCTTTGAATGAATATTTTACATTATGTTTGTTTATGGATGTACTATGCGTGAATGATATCCCAGACGCCTTGTATAGTATGAATGTGTTGGACTGCGGTTGACTATTCGTACTGTACGGCGGATTGTTGACGTGTCCGGATAAGTCCGGGGCGTGACAATTTAATTGGTATCAGAGCCTTAGTCCGTAAACTTCATAATGAAGCTTCAAAACCTCTTTTGAAAACGAATTTGAAAACCATGAGCATAAAAAGTTTTGTACTTGTAGAACTTTTGGTACTTGAGTTGCAAAGTCTCTAATTGTTAAGATGGTACCCTTAACAATTGGTATGACGGTGATTTGAGCCAAAAGATGTCTTTAAGTACCTATCCGTCATTTGACATTGACACGAGTGTAATGACTCACTCTAATTCCTTTCAGAAATGGAGCCAGTCGGAAGGATCACTAGGAGGAACCCGACGGGCCGTGTACCGGGTGGGTCCGAACGCGGTAGCCGGGGGTCCTCTAGGGGATCAAGAGGAAGGGGCCGTGGAGGCCAACGTCAAACCGTGAGCGATGGCCACGTCGACACGGAGAGTGAGACCTATTGGTCTTATGAGGACTCAACCTACCGGCCGGAAACTGAGCCGGTTGAGACCCCTTATGAAGGGGATGATGACGATGTGAGCGACGAGGAGGAAAGTGGCT